GGTCCCTCTGCATCAGGCTCATGTATCGAGGCATGCGAATCAAGAACGGCACCCAATTCCAAGGTGATAGAGACAACTTTAGAGACAGGGTCCTGGGAAGAGGCATATTCAACAGGCCCCATGGGCAAGCCCCTGGCTCATGAAAGTTTAAGAACTTTATAAGGCAAAGAACCAGGAACCTGGAGAAAAGGAACCTGAATTCTAGTCTATGATCAATACATGGATTAGTTTCTTAAGCTCTTCTGAGCCTCCAGGAACTCATCTTTTTTTAAATAGAGAGAAAATATCTACTTATCACATGGCTGTTGAGTCAAATGAGATATACACTTGAACTTGCTTGGAAAGGCTAAAGGGTTAGACAAATAATAATCACTCCAAACGCGAATGTAATGAATGACTACAAAAGCCGGGTTAGGTGCTAGGGAAACAGACATGAGAAGACATGAGCATGTGAGAAGGTCAACATATACATCACTTAGCAATGGCAAAACCTGGATGAAAAGAACTACAAGCCCATGGAGGTGGGAATGACTCATTCTATGCTGATAATACCCATACTGGTAGTGATGACAGACCAGTCATGAGTGCGGCTCACCAACAAACCCGAACCCCAAGAAATGCAAAGGCTCTGAGGAAAAGTCAAGTCTTGTTACTATCACATGCCAGGTCTTTCCAGGTATCCATTCCATCTCCTGCTATCACTTGGAAAAAGGACCACCCTTTAGCACACATCTATTAGAGATCAGGGGCCATACCGCAAAGGGTCCCAGGTAGCACAGTGGCTAAGCACTCAGCCAGTAATCAGAAGGTCAGAGGTTCATAGTCACCAGCCACTCCTAGGTAGAAAGATGACGTAGTCGGCATCCATAGAGAAGCCAGCCTTAGACACCCTATGGCGCACGTCTACACTGTCCTAGAACGTTGTTATGAGTTGGAATCCATTCGACGGCAGTGGGTTGGTTTGGTGTTTGTTCTGATACTCTACTACAAACTCTGCATTCACTACTTTGTGAAATCCACACAAGCACCCCAAGAAATGGCGATGATGTTTCCTCTTTCAGGTGGGAACTGAGTGTTAAGAGGTCTGTTCCAATCCAGGTCTAGGGACTCCTGGAATTTGTGGGTGTGAACACCCGCCCCCCCTGTTAATATCCATGCTACAAGAGCTTATGTTTTTGTACATCTGAGGGCCAAGAGACACTTCAGCCCAAGTTAAAGACCCGCTCTTTAGGCTGAGAAGAGTAATCTTTAGGAGATTCCTGAAAGCTAAGTTGTAGCCCAAGGACAGAGAGGAAGCACATGGCACCAACTCATTTTGGTGACACCTGGGTCAAATAACCATTTGTCTTAGTTCCTGAATGTGGCTGTAACAGAAATACCACAAGTGGAGGACTTTAACAAACAGAAATGTATTCACTCACAGTTTAGGAGGCTGGAAGTCTGAATTCAGGGAACCAGCTATTGTTCTTGCTGTTAGGTGCCATCGAGTTGGCACTGATTCACAGAGGATTTATGCACAACAGATGGAAACACTGCCTGGTCCTAAGTCAAGTTCACAATCACTGTTACACCTGAGTCCACTGCTGCTGCCACTGTGCCAGACCCTCCACTTTACCAAGAATGAATTCCTTCTTCAGGGACTGGTCCATCATGATAACATGTCCAAAGGCTGCTCATCTTGACTTCTAAGGAGCATTCTAGTTGTATTCTTCTCTAACACCATAACTCAAATGCATCAATTTATCTCCAGTATTACTCATTCATTGCCCAACTTTCATATGTATACAAGGCTATTGAAAATGCCATGATTTGATGCAGTACTTTTCAGTCCTCAAACCACTGGTCTTGTGCAGCAGATTAGACAAATGCATCATTCAATTAACTGACTGATACGTACATGAGAGTTGATGGTGGATCCAAGCAAAATGAAGTCTCTGACAACTTCAGCAAGGCTGTATCACCTGCAAAATGCAGGTGGTTAATGATCTTCCTCCAATCCTGATGCCACATTCTTCTTCATATAATCCAGTTTCTCAGAATAAGTATGAAAGAATACTACCCTGGTGCATACCTTCCCAGATTTTAAACCATATTTAGTGTCCCCTTGTTCTGTTTCAACTACTGCCTCTTGGTCTATGTTCAGGTTCCTCATGAGCATAACTAAGTTTTCCAGAATACTCATTCTCCACAATGTTGTCCATAGCTTGTCATGATCCACACGGTTGAAAGCCTAGGCATAGTACAGATAAACACATTTCTGGTATTCTCTACTTTCAGCCAAGATCCATGCCATCAGCAATGATATCCCTCGTTCCATATCCTCATCTGAATCTGGCTTGAACCTCTGCTAGTTTCCTGTCACTGTTCTATTGCACTCATTTAAAAATTATCTTTAGCAAAGTTTTACTTGCATGTGACAGTAAGGACAGTGTTCAATGATTTCCACATTCCATTGGGTCACCTATATTTGGAGTGGACACAGATATGAGTATCTTCCAATCAGTTGGCCAGATGGCTGCCTTTCAAGATTCTTGGCAAAGATGAGTGCCTCAAGCACATCATCAATTTGTTGCAAGATTTCAATTTGTATTCCTGGAACCCTATTCGTTGTCAATACCTTCAGTACACCTTGGACTTCTTCTTTCCATACCATTAGCTCTTGATCATATGCTACCTACCTCTTGAAATGGTTGAAGACTGACCATTTCTTTTTGGTACAATGACTGTGTATTACATCTGGTGAGATCCTTAGGTACAGTTTTTTATGTTTGTTTAAAAAAGGTATCTGCAATGAGTCTTGCAAAATTCTATCATGCTCTTTCCAGCATCATTTCTATCATCAAGGTCATATTTTCCAACTACTAATCCTTCCTCTTTGTTTCCAATCTTTGCATTCCAATCGCCAGTAATTATCTATCTTAATTGCATGCTTGATCAATTTCAGACTGAATAAGTTAGTAGAATTCTTCAATTTCAACTCACTGGCTTTAGCGATTAGTGCCTCAATTTGAATAACAGTGGTGTTAACTGGTATTCCTCGTAGATGTATGGATATATCCCATCACAGACAGCATGGTACTTCAAGACAGATCTTGAAACGTTCTTTTTGATGATGAGTATGATGCCAGTCCTTTTGAATCTGTCATTGCCAGCATAGTAAACCATGTACCAATATAAATATAAATAGTAGAAAGGTCCCAATGGCTTTTACTGTGTTACTTCTTCATGGTCAACTCTACTTTTAGGAGGCAGCACTTCCCCAGTAATATTTTTTGTGCCTTCCAACCTGAGGGGCTCACCTTCTGGCATTATATCTGATAAAACTGTGGTGTTATTCACAAAGTCTCAACATTCAATATTCTGGTGCTATCTGACACTGCTCCATTCCTACTTATAAAGTTTTTAGCGGTAGCCTGATTCTCTTTCTTCCTAGTCTGTCTTAGTCTGGAAGCTCAGCTGAAACTTGTCCACCATGGGTGAACCTGCCGGTATTTAGAATACGGGTGGCATAGCTTCCCACATCACAGCACCACACAACCCACAACAGTACAACAAACTGACAGACTGACAAACTGACAGGACAAGGCTTTCTCTCCTCATCAGCTCCGGGGAGGGCCTTATGCCTTAGTTATCTTCATGTAGTGTGTCATGCATTTTCCATCTTTGCTTCCTGCTTCCTTAGTTCCTTTCATATCACCAGAGACTGACTCAAGACACATCCTGTACTAATGCAGTCTTATTAATATAACAAAGAAACCCATTCCCAAATGGCACTGGTGGTGGTGGTGGCTGTGCGCCGTGGAGTCGGTTCTGACTCATAGCTACCCTATACAGAGTTCCCGAGGCTGTAAATCTTTACAGGAGCAGAAAGCCTCATCTTTCTCCCACGGAGAAGCTGGTAGTTTCGAACTGCTGAACTTGGCGGTTCTCAGCCTGATTCAGAACCACTATAACCACTTCATTGTTGTTGTTAAGTGCCATCAAGTCAATTCCAACCCATAGCGACCCTATAGAGGGTTTCTGAGGAACAGCTGGTGAGCTTGAACCACTGACCTTGCAGTTCAAACAGCTTTGCAGTCTGGTGCATTAACCCACAGCACCACACCAGGACTCAATTTTAGAACTTCTGTTGCGGAGAAAGATGAGGCTTTCTGCTTCTTTGAAAATGTAAAGTCTCAAGAACCCTATACAGGATCACTATGAGTTGGAATCAACTCTACAACATTTAACAAACACAGAGGAATGGTTGGTGGGGGGTCTGCACAAGTCAGTTCACAGCACCATTCTTCTGTCCACTTATATAGTGATTATTATTATTATCATTAATAATAGTAGCAACATTTATTCCATATGGAACTCTCTGGTAGGCACTGTGATACTTACATGAGTTGCCTCATGAAATAGGCACTGTCATGTAACCCCAGTTTACAGATGAGAAAACTGAGATACAGACAGATTAAGAATCTTAACCAGACTGGGTTTGATTCCTGGTCAGCTTCAATCCAGAGCTTGCTCCCGTACTATGTTGGTGTTCCACCGCTGGCACGCTCATGGATGAAGAGGGCAATGCATCATCATATCAGCCGGCAAGCTCCTCAAAACTATTCTAGATGCAAATTTCTCTAAGAATAGAGACTCAGATGATTGTGGGAAAGTTTAATAAACAAGTCTGATAATATTAGTAATGCATTTCGTAAGAGTAAGCAGTATGATTTTCCATCTGTCTGGTGTGGTGCTGTAGGATCAGCACTGGACTGCTAACCACAAGGTTGGTGATTCAAACCCACGCATCAGCCACTCCTTAGAAACCCTATACAGGGTCGCTCTGAGTCCGAATCAACAGGACAGTGCTGGATAAGTAACAACAATCTTCTGAAATCCTGACCACGCCGCTTTTCTAAGCATTCACATGGCAGTTGCGGGATGACTGAGTGAAGGCAAAAGGATTATAAAAGTGAGAGCACTCAGCCCCTCCCACCCGCAGCCCATCTCCCACTCACCTTCCGCTGTTTGGCCTTCTCTTTTCAGCATCTGGACAGCGCCCACATATTTCTTCAGCTGGACTTTGAGAACTTCGTTTTCTCTGCAGGTAAAAAAGAATGTTCTGTTTTTAAAAAAGTGTTTACGAATTGGCAATTTAGACCTGGGGCAGAAATAATCTATGTCAAGGAAAACACCTAATTTGTATCTTAGAAACACTAGTTTGCCTCCTGTTGTAGTGATCATCAGTGGACCTGAATAAGTTTCAAGGGTAGGATGGCGAATGCCTTCAGGAGCGGTTCTTTCACAACAGACAGTAGTGCTAACTTGTCCAAGCTGTGGTTGTTGAATGCTGTAGACTTGGTTCTGACTCATAGAAACCCTGTATCACATTTCTGAGGAGCAGTTGCTGGGATTGAACCACCGACACTGTGGTTAGCAGTTCGGTGCTGATCCTACAATGCCACGCCAGGACCCCACTGTTGTTGGGTTCTGTCAAGTTGATTCTGACTCGTGACAACCCCCTGTGTGCAGAGCAAAGTGTCCCATAGGGTTCTCGAGGCTGTGATATTTCAGAAGCAAACTTAGCACACTAAGCCTCTGAGTGGAACCAACGGCCCATCTTTCCTCCAGTAGTCGAGAACATAACTATCTATATCACTAGTCCCACACACTCAGGATGCTGACAGAGGATTTGTGTGCGTTGTCTGAAGCTATCTTCTGTTAGGTGCTTTTGTGTCAACCACTCTGCAATATTCTCTCCTGTGTTACCAGAGCAGCGCTAAGGACTGCGTATTAACCCAGAGACTATCCCTAATATTTCTGTTGCAAGTGACATATATTGACACTTAACTATTTTCTAAGCATCATGTCAAATGGTTAAAGATTATGTGATTTAATCCTCCCAAGAGTATTATGGGTAGGCACTATCACAACTCCCATTTTGTAGATGAGGAAACTGAGGCCTACAGTTAAGGAACAGTGTGACAAAATCCACCCCCACCCCCCACTGAACTATGAAACATGGTGTACAGACTCTGACAAGACCCCACTCCACTGAATTCACCGACTCAATAGATACACTGACTGAGGAAAGAGAATGATTCCCAAGGATGAAACCTGTAATTATTTCCTCGGTTCACTCAAGGAGCTCAGGCTTGACACACGGAACCTCACAGCACCAAGTGCGCAGGCCTTTATTCATTGTTGGGCTCCACTCAGCAGGGTAATGTGCATTACGTTGTGCCGGGCACAATGGTCCAGTACTATTCCCTGTTTCATAAAACCAGAAGCAAGATCAGAAAGGATAAGATCTCTGACCAAGAACACAAGAAAGTACACTGCCAAGATCCAAACGCAGGTCTCTCTACCTCCAAAGCACATACAAGCCTCCTCCAGCATCTCTGGAGTTTGGGCTTGGTTCATCACCAGTATAACTTCCTGCTTTCAACACCCAATCTCTTGAGATGAGTCCTTTGAGTATGTGAGAAAAGCGTTTTTTTCCTCTCCTCACAGTAAAAAGAAATTTAAGGTTGGCTTCTTCTTTTCATTATTGAAAAAGCGAAAGTTTTCACTGAAAAAGATGAAAACAATGAGATTACTTTGAAAAATATCCTATTAAGATTTTTACATCCACCGTGTGCTATTATCTGGGTACAAACCTATACACTCACCAGCAGGATAATGATGGATGGGCAATCCCACCGTTTAAACAAGTCAGCTTATAAATGGTTCTGCTACCTCCTGATGTCACCGAACTACAGCATGCTTCTATCTCATTGCCGTTCCTTCAGTACTGTTAAGCTCAACACTTAATAAACTGAAAAACTATGGAAGGATCTCCACGACTCTGAGAACGAAAGAACTAGGTGGTGCCCGGTGACTATTACAACTGCAGTGAAAGGGATCACATTAGATGGTCCTGGATAGAGTCAGAGAAAATGTGAAACAAAATTCAAAATCATAATAAAAGACCAGGGCTTACTGGTCAGACATAGACTGGTGGACCCTTGATCTGGAAGTGGGGTGAATCAGATCCTAGGTCTGTTGTTGTTAACTGCTGTCAAGTCATTTCTGACTCACAGTGATCTTGTATAGGGTTTCCAAGGAGCGGCTATTGAGTTTGAACTGCCAACCTTATAGTTCAAAAGGAACTTGAGGTCCGGTGCTTTATCCCACAGCACCACACCAGGGCTCCTAACTCACCCTAGAGACTCAATTTTCAGTCAAGTAATATATGGGTATGTACATAGGGGGGACAACACTAGTGAGGTATACACACCATAAAATGGCCAGCCATTTGAGATCAAAAGGACACTGTGAATAACAGCAAAAATCTAAATAATTTTTATTTAGAGGACAATAAATGCTGGTTGGGATTTGGAGAGACTGGGACGCTCCTGCATTGCTGGTGGGACTGCAAAATGGTCCAACCTCTCTGGAAAGCAATATGGCGCTTCCTCAGAAGGTTGGAAATAGAAATATCTTATGATCCAACAATTCCTCTACTTGGTATTTACCCACAAGAAATACGAGCCATAACACAAGTATGCACACTAATGTTCAGAGCAGAACTATTTACAATAGCAAAAAGATGGGACAGCCTAAGTGCCCATCAACTGAAGAATGGATAAACAAACTGTGGTACATACACACAATGGAATATTATGCTACCTTGAAGAATAACAAGGAAGCTGCAAGCCACCGCATAACATGGATGAACCTTGAGAACATTAAGTTGAGTGAAACCAGTCAGTCACCAAAAGGAGAAATACTGCATAGGACCACTATTGTAAAAGACTAAGAAAAAGAACCCTTACTAAAGTGGAGGGGGGATTCTTTGCTGGTTACCGGGATTTGGGGGGTGTGGTAAGAGGAGGGAGAGGAAGGTGGAGCATAGGGTAGGGAATAGACACAGGATAGTTTGGGTGCTGGGGAGGGGGGCAACACACAAGAAGGCGGGGGGGGAGTGGAAGAACAAGGCTGATGGGAAAACAATTAGACAGGTTTGCATGGGTTAAGTGGGGCAGAGGTAAATGATGTATGCATAACCTTGGAACAACAGGACTCTGGGATATAAGGATTAAGACTTGGTTGGAATGGGCAAAAGGGGGGAAATAATGTTAAGATGCTTGGCTGTCTTTTGAATCTTAGTTTCCCTTGCATAACATTATAAAATAGACACAATTTGATGAACTTGACCTACACCTATGAATGCAGTAGCTCAAAAGAGGGAACAAATCTTTACAAGGATCATTCCCACCCCCTCACTACACAAGGTAGACAGGGATGGGCAACTTGGACATAGGCTACCCAAATTGGGGGATGGGGATGGTTGGGTGGCTACAAAGGCAGGAAGTGACTTGCTTACAAGCTTTCAAGAGGGAGCCTAGATCCAGAGGGTGCAGAGGAAGGTAGAATCTCCACTGAGTAGTGTCTAATCTGTCTGGGTGGGGCTGATGAAAGGAAATGGGGATAGGACTCTTGTGGTACAATAGTGAATAATTGCTATGAGAACGGACTGTGAGGGTTGGAAATGTAAAGGTAGACATTGTGTAGCAAAAGGAGGGGAGTGGCTGACTTTGCAGTCTAGGAGCGGAGGTCCCTGGGACCATCCGGGAGAAGAGCAGAGTGGGACCCTATCCAGGGAAGCAGTGACACCGGTGATGGAGACATAGACGATGACGTGGAGAGATGGAGCAGCTAAGGACTCTAGACCCAGAAAGGGAGAGGGGCTGTGTGCTGATGACTGGGGGGCAGGCTTGCAAGGTATACCCTTTGGTTGGTTGATGATACATGGAGGGGATTGTAACCATGGCAATGAAACGATATACGACAGAATGAATATAAAGCTAATGTTCTCCCATATAAACTATCACATAATTCACAATAAAACATTAAAAAAAAGAAAAAGTCCAGCTTGCTGGTCAGAAAGAGTCTGGAGAAACCTGAGATTATGGCCCTCGACCATTCCTTCAGGCCTGGAACCAAGCTTACCGTGACGCCCAATGTTCAGCCAAGCAGTAGGTAAGACAACAACAGCAGTAAGGTATGCTCACCTTGAACAGTACACCATTTTAGGTCAAAGGGGCAACACTTCCCTAAGGACAAAGTGAGGAGGATGGTGAAGGAGGGTGGAATGGAAATAAGAGCCACAGGAGAGAAGTGAGGCAGCTGGTGTTACACGGAGAGGATTTCATCCACTGAGATGAAAATGTATGCTTTTTTAAATATATAAACTTGATGATTTGCTCTGTAAACCTTCACTAAATTCACAATAAAAGTTTTTTTTGTTTTTTTTTTTAAGTGTAAAAAGGACAGCATGGCCCTAAGGGCTGGGGAAGGAAGGAGAGTGAAAACAAGAAACACACGGAGGCCCTGTGACGTTCCACGGGAGAAACCAGTCACTGAGATGAAATACAGCATACCGTCTGTTAAATGTAAAACAGAAGAGCTCTGTAAACCTCTGCTTCATTGATAATACAAAGTTAGGGATTTTTTATGGTTTGCTTTTTTTTTTTTTAAATAGAGAACAATGTTTTAAAACAACAACAACAACAACTATTCCTCTGCCAGTCTATTTCTAATGGCTCTAGCTACCGCCTGACCTACAGAGCTGCCAGTGTGTTTTGCCTTTTACTCTCCAGCACTATATGGTAGTAGAGTAAAAACATCAGGATCAAATGTAGAAACGACCATATAGGTAGGCAGCTCTTGAGAACTCCACACTCATCTCAGAAGCTTTAGCAAAAGTAAACCATATAGGAGGAATCTCTTCCTCACCCTCACCCTAGCCTGTCATGGAGTTTCTACCAGTGTCTGCATTTTCTCCATCTCAGGGGTGAAGAGCAAGTGTCTGAAAGTGAGCCACTAACAAGGCCTGGAAAGGTGTGTAGACTGGAGAATCTTCCAGACGCACAGGTACCAGCACTGCTGGTTTTCTCTGATTTTTTTCAGCTGGAGACCCTCTGCTCATTCCAGTCTCCCCCCCACAGTCTCTGTATGTGAACTAATGTCACCAATTATCTCAAAATGAGGGATGGGAAGCAATTTGTATGTTTCTAAATGGTATAATTTTTTTTTTAATGGTGTAATTTTTACAAC